TCTTTCCCATTAAATTATATGGCAATATGTTATTATGGTATTGTTTTGCTTCCCTTGGAAAATGTTTTGAAGGGAATTTAGGATGATTAATCTGTTAATTAATCAACTTCTTTTATGTTAAAAAACCAAGTCAAAATCTTTAGTTATTTATGTCCCTATTTGTTTTGGTACCAGTAGACAGACACGTGTTATGTCAGTAATGTCGTAGAACCGTGGAACCATATGTATCATAAATTCATGTGCATTAGATGTGGTAATATATAATTATTATAATTAACATATTAAAATATCTTTTTTCTATTATTTGTAATGATTTAACATTGCATAATGACCAAGAAAGACGACCGTGGTCTTTATGCGTTTATACGTACTCGTATTCCGTTTTACATGCATTTTAAATTCGTTTATCTATGGAACATGCATTTTAATAAATTGTTAACACGTTATGAATAGTAAGAGTACTATATGTATACTCTATTTCATATTTTGATACAGATATTACTTTACTTACGTGACATGTGGCATCTTAACAAGTCTCCAACTTCAATCATAATTACAAGGCTGCCATGCTTTTATTTTCAGCTTTTTAAAATATAACTTTTATTTAGGGCCTCTATCACTATCACTTGTCTGAATCTAAAAATCTCTGGCAGATGCAATCCGAAACCCAAGTCCTCATTGTCAAAACTCATCACCATCACCAAAAAAATAAAATAAAAAAGCCCCAAGAAATTACACCTAAGATCTTTCCTGCAACCCAAAAGAAGCAAAAATCCATGGCCACCGCCCCCGGTCGATTCGCGAGCCAAGCATCATCATCGCCGGTGCACGCCCGTGTGAGATTTTGATGGAAGATTTTGATGAGAAGCGGCATTGTCGGAAAAGAGATTGGCCATTCGGATTCGGAGAGCATGTTGACCTTGGTTCACACGCACAGGCCGTACCCAACAAAACTCCTTTGATTCACTTGCATGTTTTACATTCTGGGTAGTTGCTTTTCTGGGTGTTTGGAAAGTTTACTTCTGTGAATGACATGTGAGATTTTGATGCCATTTTGTGTAATACACATCATATTTAAGACTGTAAAATCTGAAAATTCTATGGAAGATTTTGCGGGTATTTGCACTCTTTCGACGAAGTTCACCAATTTTTAGGGCTGCGCACACTTTGGTCTTATTAATTTAAATTTTTAATTTAAATTAAAATTATACGAAGTTCACCAATTTTTAGGGCTGCGCACACTTTGGTCTTATTAATTTGAATTTTTAATTTAAATTAAAATAATAATTTTTTATAAAAAATTTTAACTGTAATAAAATTAAAATTAAAAATTTGAATTAATAGAATAACGAGACTTTGAGTTTGGCGGGAGTTCTTTTTTCTGTTATGTCTTTTTTATAAATGAACTAAAATGATTTTTATATTTGGTTTTTGCTTTCTTCTCTCTGTTTTTGTTTTTTGGGTAAATGTTTTGTCTTTAGATGGTAGAATCTCGGAAGGAAAGAATGGGTTTTGAAATTTATAAAGGGAAAATGTCGTATGTGGATATGGAATTGCGAGGAGACGCGTGTTGCGGAGGAATCCAGAAAACAACTGTGTGCATAAAATTCTGAGAAAAAATTTTATCAAAAAAGAAAAAATCGCAGAAAAAAGTGTATAAAATAAATTATTTTAAAAAGCTGAAAAAAAGAAGGATTGATATAGGTGACTTGTTGTAAAATGTGTTTATTTAATAAAATCAAAATGTCACATGTCAAATAGATATGACATGAATGCTTATACTATTGTTTTTCGCCTTGCATTTGTAATTTTTGTTTTATAGTTAGAATTAGATAATAATTTCTTTTCATTTTTTTTATAGAAGCAACTCCAAACTTTTCATTTTTATCTTTTAGATATATCTGATTTTATATTTATTTATAATTTCTCTACATATCCAAAATACAAAAAAGGTTAATATCCCATGATCTGACTGCTTTACTAATTTTATATTACCCCAACAGTGCATGTGATAAAATAGGCATCCTTAATCATTCAATGAATCATATATCTATGCCTCAATGCTTTACCTAAAGGGTCAAAAAGACATAAAAGTATATTCCTTCAACAACATATAATCAACCTTATAATTTCACCAATTTCAATTTTTGCAGTCTTTCTTCGTGGAATAAGTAAAGGAATAAAAAAATAATAATAAGTACTAAAGTTAACAGTGGCCAAACATTTTGTCACGTACTTCACCCACTGTATTAGGTACTTTCAAAGTTTCAAAATCACTTTTTATTTTGTTCAAAGTCTCCGGGACTGCATAGTCCCACCACAAGGTCCCAGTCATCACTTTCCCAGTATTTTAAAACCCAGCCTTTTCTTCCCTTTTATCACTTTCATATTGACCACCTCCTCCGCATTGACCATCTATGTGGTAGCTGTTTTTTACGCGTCCCATTTTTTAATGATTAAATTTTATTAAAATCACGTTAAATTTAAAAAATATATAAAATTTATAATTTATAATATAAATTTATTGATTAAAAAATATAAATTTTTTCTTGATTTTATTTTCTCAAAACTTACTTGAGAAATTTTATTATTTTATATAATTAAAGTCTCGTTTAGTTTATTATTTGAATTTTGTTACAGTAAAAATTTTTAGAAATAATCACATTTAATTTTTTTTATTATAATAAAAAAATCTTACATAAAATTACAACTCAAATCATCGAACTAAACGAGCTTGAGATATACATTGCCGCTAATGATTATCAATAATGCGAATACTGACTACTTACATATAATATAATGCTAAACGTTGGACATACGCAAGTATAGTTGGTTAAAAAAAAAGGTACTAATATAAGATATAAATATTTTTGCCTTTGTAAGGAAACATGCTCTGTAGTTAACTAGTTTTCGTTATTCCACCTAAAGTCAAGTTTTTTTTTTTTTTTTTTAACAAAAGTTCTTATGAAAAAATTTCCTTTTGTTTTTCCCT